AAAATAGATATATATATATATATATATATATAAATTTAAAGATAATCACATGATAGAGTGATTGATTCACGTGTGAATAGTAAAGATTTTGTTTTTATTGTAAATAGTTGAATAGAGAGTTCACATGTAAATAGTATTAATATGTTTACAATGCTATAAATTGGTGAATTATTCTTCTATTCATATTGCATTATACTTTCAATCTTCCAACAATCTTAGGTAAATAAAGTCATTTTATTATTATGGGAGAGTCTAGCCAAAATTTTAGTCATTTGAATTTTTTCTCATCGGATTCAACTAATAGGTAAATAAAGTAATGTTTTCTTATTTCTTAAAAACTATTTTTTTTTATATGTAATATATTTATATTATTATTTTTATAGGTATGATCAAATTCAAAATGCAGTAAATTATTGTACACAAATTGTAAATAATAATGTTATGGGTGAGGAACGAATTGGTGAGTTGCACAATGATGAACATGAATTAACAGATAGTGATGATATGTATGACGACCATCACCTGTGTTGTAAGTCATCATATCTGTGTGCCATTGAGCTCTTTGATAATAATCATTAAATTTTTTATCTATCGCAAGAGGCCATGGCATATTACTTTGAAGTAATGTAATTGCAAGATTGTTTCTTTCGTCAAAACGATCAACAAGAGCTTTGAACGTCATTTGAACCATGGCAGTCATAGGAAGCCCCTGAGCTTTTTTCAATTAACCATTATATGACTCAGACACTTTTGTCGTCATGGCACCCCATCTACGACCACCATCCTTATACACTGTTCATTTTTCCAAAGGAAATTCATTTAACCATTCATATGCTGCAGGAGACAATGTTTTGATTTGTTGCATCCGTTGCACAAACTTTTTCTCCTGATGAATAGCAGCCAACCACATTAGATTTTCGAGTTCAATATTTACAAATTTTTTATTAAAATTTATTTTTAAGTGTCGAACACAAAATCTATGATATGTGTTGGGTGGACTCAACCAATCATAAGATTGAACGCATTGCAAGATTCCTTGATGACGGTCAGAAATAAGACCAATTCCTTGTCGTTCACAAACTACATGTGTCCATAATAACTTGAGAAACCATGACCAAGACTCAAAACTCTCACGTGCAACTAAAGCATACGCAAGTGGAAAAATATTTCCATCCGCGTCAATTCCAACCGCAATTAACAATTTGATATTATACAAACCATAAAGATGTGTGCCGTCGATAGAAATGACCAGCCTACAACTTTTGAAACCATCAATGCTCTGTTTAAAAGCCCTAAAAAGAAATTTAAAAATTTGCTCATCTTGCATTGTTGTAGAATGATGCTCCCACTCAATAATAGTGCCTGGATTGAATAATTGTAGTGCAGCCATGTATCGAGGTAATGCTTTAAATGAACTTTCAAAATCACCATAAACCATTCGAAATGCTTTTCTTCGACCTTTTTGTAATTTTCTATAACTAGGAGTATAGTGATGCTTTCCTTTGATAATTTCACGGATCATCTTAATATTTATGTCCGAATTTTGCATAACATATGGTATTAATGAAGTGGCAATCATGTTATCAATCAAATTGAAATGATCCTCCTTATAATTATCTGTAAGACAAGTATGCGGTTCAATCATTTTTTCTGTCTTCCACATATCGCTTGAGATCTCTCTAAACCGAATCATCCAATCACACCATAACTCATGACGCTTGCAAATAAATTTCCAACTTTTACTTTTGGATTGATCACAAAGAAATTCTTTTTTAATAGAAGAACTATATGCTCTTACTGCAGATTTCATTTGCATCTTATTCATAAATAACATACCTAGTTGCATATACGAATTAAATTAATCAACATGAAATAAATAAATAAGCAACTATAAAATATTTAGTTTTCAACAATCGAACCTGACTGGATATGTTTAGGATTGTTTGAATTCCCAAGTGCCGTTCGAATGGAACCGTCATCTCTCGTGTAGATAAAATCTCCTGTATTTTCTTCAGTGTGATCTAAGTATGGAATCGTTGTAGAATGATAATTAATACTTTGATCTTCAACGGATGCATTGGGTGCATTATCCACATTATCATCATCGTCGTCATACATATCATCACTATCTGTTAATTCATGCTCGGAAGGTTCATCACTGTGCAACTCACCAACTCGTTCATCACCCATAACATTATTATTTACAATTTGTGTACAATAATTCACTGCATTTTGAATTTGATCATACCTATAAAAATAATAATATAAATATATTACATATAAGAAAAATAGTTTTTAAGAAATAAGAAAACATTACTTTATTTACGTATTAGTTGAATCAGATGAGAAAAAATTCAAATGGCTGAAATTTTGACTAGACTCTCGCATAATATTCAAATGACTTTATTTACCTAAGATTGTTGGAAGATTGAAAGTAGAATGCAATATTAATATGAAGGATAATTCACCAATTTATAACATTGTAAACATATTAATACTATTTACATGTGAACTCTCTATTCAACTATTTACAACAAAAACAAAATCTTTACTATTCACATGTGAATCTATCAATCCATCATGTGCTTATCTTT